GTCTGATGTATACTCAAACCTCGCAGGTCAGCTCCCTCCTTCCACCCAGCCCTGGGCTTCCCCCTCCTCTTCCTCCTCCCCAACAGCAGCTGCAGGCGCACGACTGCAGCTCCATCCCACGCACAGCTCCCGGGGAGGAATGCAGCCTTTGATGATATGTGGCTGCCTGTGCCGTGCTCAGGCCTGTTGCCACGTGGGTCCCTGTCCAAGGAGCTGGCATGGGGCTTGCAGGGGGAGCATTAGCAAGAGACTGTTGTGCTGTTACTTGTGGGAGTGAAAGCCCGCGGCCAAACTGCAGCCCCCCCACAGTTGGGCCCCCTTCCCCAGCATTTTAGGGCAGTAAATCACTCAGCACCAAATCAGAGTGACTTAGACCAAGGAAACCTGGCCCTCAAAGCCTCACCTCACCTGGGAAGTGCTTCTGGATTGACAGTACTTTTTGATGAGGCTGCAGGGGATGGAATGGGCTTTGCCAAACCTGACTGCATCCCCAGGAAGCAGAAATTCTCCACATCCAGACAGGAGTGGAGAATGGAGGGCTCACATTTCTCCCCTCTCCATCCCAGAGCTCTGTCATCACTTTAGCCATGAGTCAGAGATCCCATGAGGGCCACACACAGCACCCACACTCTGACACTGGGGACCACAGGGGCTCTGCACCAGCGCTGCCTCTCCCCATCCATCCTGAGGAGAAGGAGGCAGGTGTTTCCCTGAGGAGGTTGGAAGGGATAAATCAGGTACCAGCAAACACAGCAGGGCAAATACTTATGGATGATCAAATATTGGCTCAAGGAATCCTGGGTGGTAAACAACACCCTGCACCAAGCCTTGCTTTTTGACAGAACAGCCATGCCCTGACTGCAGCAGGGCCAGAGCATGCAGCCAGCCCTGGCCAGGGGAATGGAGGTGGCTGTAGCCTGAGCTCATCCACCCTCTGTTGCCTCCTGCTTGTCACACATAGACAGGTCCCTGGCTCACTGTTGGAGCCTGAATGTCCCACACTAGAAGCAGCAAGGTACCAGCAAGCAGCGCCTGGTGGAATGCCCATATAAGAGCAAACGTGAGCTCCAGAATATACGCAAAACTCCTCTTTCATTTACTCATTTAACCCGGTGGTGCTGGAGCTGATAGTGCTGGCTTCCTTTCAAGCAGACGCCAGATATAAATAAAATAAACCAGGCGAGCTTCGTGCTTCCACCGTGCCGCCTTTCATCCCCACTCCTCAAAGCTGCTTGGAGGAAAGTCCCAATGAGGGAGCAGGGAGCAGCAGGCCTTGGCCTCAGCTGCACTCCTGCAATGCCCGGCCCAGAGAGGAGTGGCACTGCCATGCACAGAGGCAGAGATTTGTGCCATCGTTCACATGCCTGCCAACAGGAGCTCATAACCAAGAGCTGCAGGCACACTGGAGGAGCAGCACCACTTCCCTTTCCCCAGACAGGAGGACCACGGGACACGCTGCCACTGCGCCAAGGCACGGATAAACAGACACAGGGTGGGACCCAACGCCTCAGCAGCTCGTTAGGGCCGTGCTGGAGCTGACACTTCACAGGGCCGGGCACAGGCAGCGTGTGCCGGTGGGTGTGAGCTTTCCCATGTCTCTTGCCGCCCTGCAGGGTGTGATGTTTTTCTTTCCTCCTGAGTTTTTTTAGGCTGAGCTCGCTCTGCAGAGCGCTTTCAGAGTGGCAGCGGTCTCTTTAAGGAGCTGCATGGCGAGGTGCGGGCTGCAGAGCAGAGCACATCCCGGAGCGGAGGCACAGAGGTGTTGCATCAGGCTGCGCTGGCATCAGACTCGTGCACCGCGCCGTTCGTCTGATGGTTATCAGTCGTCTGAGCGAACTGCCCGGAGTCTCCAGCCCTCTTCTGGCAGGTCCTACAAATTGCAACGTGGAGAGAGCAGAAACAGCGGTTAGCAGAGGCTGTAAAGCAGGCAGTAGGGTGGGGATGCTCAAAACACAGTTGTCCCCAACTCCACGGCAGCCAGCACAGGGAGGACAAAAACCCAGCCCTGACACGGTTGCTGGTTCGTTGGACAGAATAAGAAACGAAAAAGGAGACATGAGACATTACTGAGTTGGTGGAGCAAATATGGCCAAGCCTGCACCCCCCAAACCAAAAAACACACAATTCCTAGGTTAAATATTGCTAGTTCTTTAAGGCTTCAGGCCTAGAGGCTCCTGTGCTAATAATCCCAAGGGAGTTACCAGGGGTGGCTCTCAAGTTTCTCCATCCCTGAGCAGCAATGGGGCACAGGAGCGTGGCTCTGGCTGCAGCCCAGCACCAGGTACCCAAAGCAACCCTGCATGCACCAGCCCAGTGCCTCATTGGTGTATTTTGAGCATGTGGGCTGATCTGTAAGCCACCAGTAGGTGTGTATCACTGAGGTTTCCCAGCTGCTATATATATATATATATATATGCATGAGTACATAAAGGGTCAGATATTAATAGGGCATAGGGCAACAGCATCCAAGGGCACACACAGCACTGTAAGAGGTGTGGACACAGCCAGGACAGCGTGCTGAAGTTTCTGGCTGGCAGGACAAAGTAAATACAGAACAGCATGCAGCACTGCAGGGGGAGTATGCCTAATGTCGGGGCACAACTGAGTTAATTGTGGGATGGACACCACATTCCTACAAGAGCTCACAGTAAAATACAAGCAGGTATCAGAAGCCAAAGAATCACGTGCAGAGCGGTCGCAAGAACACAGGAAAATTGGTTTGTAGGATGTAGATGCAAGGAATGCTCTGGGGTCCTGCAAATGCATCCTGTGTGTTTGGAGACCTCTACAGACTAATGAACGCAACCGCACTTGCAGAGAAGCAGTTTCTCACAGGGGAGATCTGTGTGAAAATCCCCGTGGGAAGCATCAGTGTTGGGCTCCTCGCTGAGCACTTCTGTCACTCCATGAACAGCAGGAGAAGAGCCTGGGGACAAATGACCGAGAGCAGGACAAGGATTGTAACGGCTTAGGGATAGGTGCAAACACTGCCTGTTGTACAACCAAATGGCTGACAAATGCGTGAGCAGGTCTGCTAATAAGAGATTTGATAATCACCAAAGTGTCACGCTAACGAAGAGCCCCTGCAGCTAACCAAGCTGTCAGACCATCAGCTCATTTTCTGTGCCGTGTTTTTCTTTGCTGTAAGCCAGCAGCACGCAGTCAGCATGCCTGGGAAAAGCAATGCCACTGAGAGCCAACCGCCCACCTCCAACAGCTGACTTTAGACGTGTTCCCACTCCCTTCCTCCTTGTTAAGCAGAGGTGATGATGGCTCCCAAGGAATGGCACAACAGGCAGAAGGCAAACAAGGCACACCTGTACAACCAGCCCCTATTTGGGCACAATTTGCTGTGTTTGCACCTTTCCCAAAGCTTTTACTGCTCTCACCAAAAGGAGTCAAACTGGATTTTGGGAGCACTGAGCATCTCCATAGTTGCTATCCCCAAAAGCAGAGCAGTCAGAACCTTTTCCACCCTCAAGAGTTCACCCACCTCTCCAAAAAATATTTATGCTGCTTTTTGTGTTCCTGCAGGGCAGCCCTGCAGAAAAGTCACAACTCCAGCACTGCTTGGCTAAGCACCACTGTTAGCAGCAGGGCAGTGAGCTCAGCACTTGCTGCTGCTGGTGGCTTCAGCAGCTGCACTGGGAACTCTCACCCGGCCCAGCTGGACATCGCCCTGCCAGGACAGCTGCAGATCTGTGGGCAGTGCATGGTTTCACGAGACAAAACCAGCACTTCCAGCAGCTTCTCCAGAAACTGTGACTCATGCTGGTGTCTGTGCTGCAGGGGTGAGGTGGGCACTGGCACAGAAAGGAGCCCTGCTTCTTCCTCTCTGCACAGCATCCTTTGTCTCCTCAGTACCTTCACTGAATCATAGAATAGAATCATGATTGGAAAAGAACTCTAAGATTGCCAAATCCAAATCCAACCCATCCCCACTGTGACACCAAACCATGTCCCTCAGCACTTCCCAGCACTGCCATCTGAAGCACAGAGTTCTGCTCCAGTGCTCCCAGCACATTTCCTCACCACGAGCACTTTGCTTTTGCAGGAGACCAAAGGGGCAAAACCCATCCTGGGATTTGGTTTTACAGCCCCAGGAGAGGCTCTTGGCTTAGATGCATGTTGGATTGAGTTTTAAGTCATCTGCCAAGGGCGCCAGGGCCTGGGATAGCAGCTCTCATTCTGCTTAGCTGCTGGAAACAAAGCAAACATTAAATAACATCAGCACCATGGCCCATAGCACAAGAAGTTTTCAACCACAGAAGCCAGGGATTCCTGTAGGACCATCCAGGGAGAATCAAGGCCTCCCAGGCACAAAGGGTTGGCCAGAACGTTCTTTTGGTGCACTGACCCTGTGAAAATGGGTGCACAGCAACCCTTCCCTGGCATAGCTTTGCCCAACTATACATTAACAAATGCTGATGCAAACTCCCATCTCTAGTATACATCAACTTTCATTTCATCACAACCTGTTTCTTGGTGCCTTTCCACACCAGGAAACATCTGACAAAAGCTCTCTCATCCCCAGATTCCTACTTTGTTTCCAGCAGGGAAGGGAACCGCTCTGAGCTCAGCACAGTGGCATCCCAAACCTGCTGGCCCCATACAGGCTGTGAGAAAAAAAATAAAAAAATAAAAGGAAAACATTAAAAAAAAGATTGTACAGACTTTGCAGCAGAAAGAGCTGCTGTTATCTCCTCCACCTTCAGGAGCCCACATTCTTGTTTTGTGCCCCATTGCTCCCACCCTGCCTCCATCACATCACCGCCCGGGATGCTCAGTGGATGAGTGGGGCTGAATGAGCTTTGCACGCCTGAGTGGGCTGACCCTGCCTGGGGAGCAGGATTTGCTGCTCCCCATCACCCAGCACTAAAAAGTGACCTCAGGCTGCTGCCTCTGCTAATCCCTGGCTGACAGCCCTATATAGACTCCCCCACCCCGACTGCACAACCACATCTGCTGCACAGAGCAGGAGAGCAGGATGGCATTGCGGGTAAGTGCTGGTGATGTGCTTAACCTGCACATCCCAAAAATGCACTGGAAATGGGAAATGGTAACAGAGAAAGGGAAGGGGTGTGAAAGAACTGAGCCATGGGAAGGGAGAGCTGGGAAAGGGGCTGCCAAAGCTGGAGAGATTTTTTCCCAATGAGTTTGGGAAGGGCAATGCTCAGAAATGCAAGATCATAAAGAGTGCTAAAAAAAAAAGTGGGATGAAATGGCAAGCCCTTCTTATTAAAATGAGTTATTTAATAAAACTATGAATTATTCAACAAGGAACATTTTCTAGCTTGTTCTATGCACATTTAACATTGAAAATGGGAGGGGAGCTGGTGGAATGGAATCAGAAAGGAGATCTTGGGATGTCATCCGTGTAACACTGATAGGGATGGGCTGGATGCCACATTACTCTGCTCCTTTGTCAGTCCCTGCCTTTCACGTGCTGCTTCAAAGCATCACCGAGGATTTCACAGATTTCACACTGTCCAGGCAGGGAGAAGGAGCAGTTGCCTTTGTGCCAGGCAGGATTTCTGCCCTGAGGTCTTCTGTAGAGAGCGGGGTGGCAAATACAAAAGAAAATCCCGAGAAGAAGGGGAACATCCTGAGGCTCAGAGCAAGAAAAAGGCTGGAGCAGAGAGCGTGTGGGAAGGGGGACGGAGGAGAAGAGGAACAGAGACGTGGAGCAGTGGCTGGGGATGGGCTGTGATGTGCTGTTCCCCACCGTGCCCTGTTTTGCCATCACCTCCTGGCGGCAGTTCGAGGCTTTGTACCCAGAGGGGATGTGTCCCGGCTGGAGCGTCGTGGTCAAGGGTGAAACCAGCTCCAGCACCAGCATGTGAGTACAGCCGTGCTCACAGCTCCCTTGGGACAGCAGTGCTGCTCCATGGCCCTTGTGCATCCCTTTCTCTCGCTCTTATAGGTTTGAAATTAATTTCCTCAGTCATCCCGGAGATCAGATCGCTTTCCACTTCAACCCCCGCTTCGCCAGCTCCAGAATTGTTTGCAACTCCTTCCTGGCCAACCACTGGGGGAAGGAGGAGGTGAACAAAACCTTCCCCTTCGAAGCCAAGGAACCCTTCCAGGTAGCCCCGGGTCACACCATGGATGTCCTTGGGTGGGGCAGGAGCATCCCAGCCAATACTGGGGTGGTCCTCAAGGATCTGCCTTCACCTTTCCAGCCAGCACTGTACCCAGTGAGGTCCCCTTTCTGAATCTGCCTCCTGTCAGTATTTCTTTTGTCCCTGCTACTTTGCTGCTGATTTATAGCCAGCTCTGGCGCAGATGCGCACAGCTCCAGCAATAATCCCTGGTGCTTTTCTCATCAGTTTAAGCTTTGCACTGTCACCAGTTTCTGCTATCACAAAGCAAAAACCTCTATTATTCTTTTCTTTTGCCCAAAGGAGAGATGACCTGTTCACATGTCAGCTGGGGGAGGGTTTGGATGCACATTCCCAGATCTGAGCGCTCACCGATGTGACAACAGTGAGGTCTGGGGAGGATGTGTCCACCTGGTGAATGTAACACAGCCTCTCTTTCAGGTTGAAATCTATTCTGACCAGGATTATTTCCACATTTTCATTGATGAAAACAAAATCCTGCAGTACAAGCATCGCCAAAAACAGCTTTCATCCATCACCAAGCTGCAGATTCTTAATGATATTGAAATTTCTTCGGTGGAAATCACCAAACGAGGCCTTTACTAGCAAAGAAAGTTGGGATAGCCTCACCAGCCACTCCTCCTTAATTTCCTGATCCAGATGGGGGCCTCTTCCTCCACATCTCCACCCATCATCAGCCAGCCAGATAGCTGCAGCACATCCTTGCAGTGGAAATGATGGCCACAGCCATTGCATGCCACAGCACTACAGCAGCACCCAGCCATGCTGTTAACTTGTAGCCACATCACTGAAGACCTTCTGCCCCTGTGCCCTGAAGTGCACAATGCTCTTATCTTTGCTGCTAGAGAGACTGACAGATCACTGCTTCACATCAAAATCTGCCTTGAATAGCCTGGATATTTTAATGCTGCCCTAGAAATTGTATTTGCCCTGGAGTGGGATGCAAATTAGTGCTAGTCCTCAGCTGGCTGCATGGCGATGGATGCGATGTGTGTGGATGTTACCAATGGAAAGGAACAGCTCACTGCAGGAGCTGGGTTAAAATGCCACTGTATTTGCCAATAAAATCCAACAAGGGAATCCCTGCTGAAACATCCCTCACTGGGCAGATCAACTGTTGTTTGTTCCCTGCAAACCTATAGGTGTGAAATAGGTACTAGCAACAGCCAGTTGTGGGGCAGGAGGACACAGGTTGGGGGTTGCTTTACTCTGCACTGGGAAAGCACTGCCCTTTAGCTCTGAGGGCTAATGAAGTCCTGTCTTTGTAGGCAAATTGCAAGATATTTCCAGAAGATACATTCCACAGAGATGTTTGCTCAGCCTGTGTCCTGCCAGCTCCAGCCTTGCTAGACAGAGCCTGGGAGTTGGTGTAGTGGGTCAGAAAAGGGTAAAGCTCATCAGGACACATAAAGGAACATAGGCCCTTCAGCATGCAACAGAGATGCAGCTGGACTCCAAAAACAAAAGGACATCTTCAGAAGCCAGCATCTAGAAGCCCATGAGTTCAGAATGAACAAACTGCCACTTTCCCTGTAGGTGTTCTGACTTTTCTCTTTGCCCTGCCTGCTTTCATTTCCTCCTCTTTTTCAGTTGCCCTTCATACACATCCTTCTGCCTTACACTCTGTTCTCTTTGCAGTTGCCTCTTCCTTGAAAAGGAAAATATGTCTGATTCCTTGACCAAGCCACTGCAGGCAAAGATGATGTTATTTTTACTGTTTTAATTGCACACATTAGAAGCATAATGTCACGGTGTTAAATCTGAACAGGAACTCGCTCCAAAAACGCAATTACAGCTGCCCCCAAATCACTCCTTTGTTTCTCAGACGTAAGACAGACCACATTCCTGATGGCAAGCAATAACACAGACGGTCCCGCCTTGCAGTCCTTTCCTTCAGGACGATGACACTTGCTAACAAAACAGCCCTGACCCATCCTCGCCTTTGGATGGGATCACCAAAGGCCATAGTTGCACTCCAGACTTCTCAGAGCTTAAATTGGCCATTCCCAACTCTTTCCTCTGTTTATAGTCTCAAGGACTTAACAAAGAAGAGGTGACCGCGTAGCCAACCACAACACAGGATGCCACAAAGCTGACATTTATGAGTCTGCTGAAACGCTTATCATTTTCTTCCAGACCATAAAAAACACCAACTGGAACTGGGCCTGTTCTCACGGTGGAGAATGCAATGGGAACTCAAAATAGTCTCAAACAGTACCTCTTCCCCCCAAAGAGAGCAGAAATTATCATTTGGAAATGACAACTGTCTCGGTGGCAAGTTGGGAGAGCTTGGAGATGGTGAGATCTCCTTTGGAATAAATCCATCACCACTGAGGCAAAACAGTTGCCAGCATCTGGCTTATATTGTAGTTGTGATGCCGCTCAAGGGCTCCACGCACTTCACTCCTCCAGTCATCCCTTCAGCAAGGCAGACACAAGCGCAGGCAAAAATAGTCCTGTTGGGATCTCTGTGTCATACTTCTGATAATGCTGAACTGCATTTGAAAGAAATTGTTCTTTTTATTCATGCCTGTTTGGAGGTTGATAGACAGATTATTTTTCACAGAGGAAAAGTGATGAAACAATTTATGAGGCTAATACTTTGTACCTACATAGCTACAAAATCCATTTACAGCCACTGCTGCAGTAATACACCACAATTTCATTTTTCTCCCCAGAAGCGAGGACAAAAGACCTCGGACAAACAGGGCAAAAATATTTCAAGTACAAACAAATCAAGAGATGCCACACCAAATCAAGCAGCAGCAGGGATTGTGCCACATCTGCGAGCACCTTCCCCACAGCTGGTGCACCCACACTGAGCAAGCCCAATCCCTCCTGACACATCCACAGCACTCCTGCAGGGCTTTTTACTTAGGCTTTTATCTGCTGCCTCCTCTAGCCAAAACAGTCCCAAGGGTAAAAGGGTCTTTGGAGCAATGTGGTTCTAGGGAGCTACAGAGCATCTCTGCAAGGAAAGCTTTGGGCTGGTTAGGAGAAATGTTCTCTAACTCTCTCACCCTCATCTGCCCCTGAAGGAGAAACTCCAGGGAAAAAATGAAGCCACTCTATTAAGATGATCAATTAAACTCTCAGGAGGGAGTTGACACATCACCACCACACAGAGGCAGTGTATGCTGGTGCTGAGCTGATCAGAGAGAAGCAGCTCATGCTCCTTCCACATCTCAGTCAGCTTTCCTATTCACATCCTGGAGCCTGGGACTGTAGAGGGAACTGATGGAGGCACTCTTGCCCAGCTTGGAAAGGTCCTTTTGAACCTTGAGATGAACATTTAACTGCCCAGGCAGTTGGGGCCAACCAGCACAGGAGCCAGGTTGAAATGCTTCCAGAGATAGAAGGTACTGCAGGAGGGGATGGGGACTGTCTTATCGGTTCTGCTTATAAAGCAGAAGATGCTGCCCTTACTGCTTACACCAACCAGGGAAGGCCAGCAGGGAGCAATGCCCCTCAGGAGGCAAAGCTAGGAGAGGTGGTGACCCCGCAGAGGAGCTCTCCCATTCCCACTTGTGTTCCTTATTTGGGCTGGATTTGCAGAGCTCAGTGAACTGCTCTGGCTTGTCCCAGATCAATAGGAGGGAAAACAGGCTCATAATCCCTCGTGCTTGAGCTCTGCCAGAACTCCCAGGGCCAAGGTCTCCTCTGGCAGCATCTCAGGGCTGCAGATCTCTTGTGGAGCATCTGATGGTGCACAATTAGCAAGCACTCCTCAGTTCTGCTGACACCGCTGGCAGTCATCACACACCCTGGCAGCAGCACCAGTGATTTCCTCATGGGCCAGCAAGCAAAAGGCTCCCACGTCAATGACAGTCACATTCTATCAGCAGGGCAGCAGCCTGGACACATCAGGCTGAGTGATGCTGTCTCTGCCAACCTTAGCAAGAGACACACGAATAGCAAACACTTGGTCCTGCCCAGAGATGAGGCAGAGTGCCAGTACAGCAAGAAAGATGTCTAGAAAAGAATTAAAAGGGAAAAAGCTGTGCAGGTTGCATCTGCTTCCCATTTGCTTTCTGACTTAATGTCCACCTTTCTACAAAAACAAAAAACAAAAAACATCACAAAACACTTTGATGTTGGTGGTTTAGCTATGCAGCCATGGCTGGAGGGCAGTTCTGGTGAAGAGAGGCAGAAGGGCCATTGGGAACTGTTTAGGTGACAGATGAGTTTTCTGCCATTTCAGTGCTTCCACGAACATCCCCTGAAGGAGGCAGAGCTGTGTGAGGCATTGCTCCTTGCCACTGATTCAATGCAGTCGTGCTGTGATGCAGCTCAATGACCAACCCACATCTACAGCACCTCACTTCTCACCTCCCCAGGGCGTCAGTTCTCCCAGCACATTGCCACACAATACAGCCACCAGCAAGAGCAGAACTTAAAAGCCACGACTTTCTCCTTCACGTCTCTGAGCCCTTACCTAAGAGAGCGCTTACTCAACACGTGGGCTGTCAAACTCCTTGAATGTTCAGGAGTCATAGATGTCTGCCAGAAGGGAAGGTTCAACTTCCCTGAAGAGTCCATAATAAACAAATAAACAGAACAAGAAGAAAGGAGGAATAGCAGCTCTGTTCTAACTGGGAGAGAGAACTCTGAGGCACTATGCAGCTGAAAAGGAGCCTCTGCAGAAAAGGAGAAATGCTTCTTTTACTGCATTTAAAAGGAGCTTTATGAAGTCACTAACTTGCACCACCTCCATCCAGAGCCAGCTCAGACAGGAGCCCATCTCAGCTCTGATCTTGCATGCATAGCGGCAGGTATCAAGTTGCAGACATTAAATGCAGGCTGCAAAGGGATTATTTTCTGAAAGAAAGGATCTGCTGTAGAGGTTGAAGCATTGGAAGCTGATGGTGCTGCTTTGCTTGACAGATGAGTTCTTGTATACCTCTGCTGCATAAGAAAAGAGTGACAGAAATTAACCCTACGTATGAATTTGCTGACCTTCCTGTTCTGCAGTCTGTTCAAGACCCTCTTGCTGGAGCTGAACATAATCTATCATGTTATGCCTTCAAGCTGCAAGAATACAGCCAGCCAAAGCTCTGACTTGCCCAGAGCACACAAGCCAATGGAGATCAGGCAGCTTTCCCTGCCCCCATCTCAACCTGTGCTGCCTGGCTGGGTCTCACAGAGCACTTTGCAGCTTCAAACTAGAAAAAGAAAGAAGTGTCATAACACCTTTATAGAGGTGAAGAAATCAAGGCATGTGGTGGGAAAAGAGCAGGGAGGAAAAGGGAGTGACCAGGTGCATTTGCCTCCAGGCAAGTGCTCTCACTCTGCAGCTCATGACCTATCTATGTAGTTTATGTCTTAGCTTGGCTGGAACTTTCTGTGACATATGAGAGTTTGCCTTAATACAGTAACAAACTCTATGCTGAATCCCTCTATGATCTGCAACACAGCCTAGGTTGCACAGACAAGCCAGCCCCTTGTCTTAATAAGCTGAGCTTAATGAGTTTTCCATTCACCCTGTACATAGGCATCATTGCTACAGTCTCAGCTGCTAATCAGTATTTCTTCAACTTCTTTACTTCCTGCTCCATCCTAAACAATGGCCAAAGAGCCACAAGCACCCCTTCATTCTTCCCCTTCCTCTCCTAAGCAAGGTTCAGCGATTGCTGTGTGATTTATTGCACATGAGATCGCTGGTTTTGTAGAATGGGAGTAAGACTGAGGTGCAGCTATTTCACCTCCTGACCTCAGCCTCTGCACTAAACTCCATCTACTGTCATAATTCATTTCCTGAAGTCATCTTGTGCTGTGAGCACACGCTGGAACCAGAGAGACAAACGTGGTCAGTGGTGCTGAGGGAGCAGCGATTGCCCGAGTCGTTCCAGATGAGTCACTGCACAATGAAAGGTTATGCATTATTACTAGAGAGAAAAAGAAGTATGCAGCTGATCCTGACAGAGCTTAACAAACGCTCCGAGCCTCTGACTGATTTTGTATGACTCTAGTTGTGATATTCCTCTAAAAAGGCTGCCCAAGATAAATAGAAGCTCACAGATATATTT